GCTTCCCCCTTTTTCGTTTCTCTCTGGCGGCGGCGAAAACCCCCATTAACGCAACAGTGTTTCCAAATTTTTCGGCCCCCCTTTTGAAATCACAGCAGCGATTTTATTCCATCTCCAGCTCTCAACTGTTTGAGGGGAGATTAAGAAAAGATTTAAGAAGAGAGAGAGAGAGAGAACTAAAAGGGGTTTTATATTGTGGGGTTATTCATTTATTCTCAAGTGAGAATTGAAAGGGTTCATACCCTTTGATTATTAACACTGTAGCTACAATGTTTATTTGAGAAATCCCAGTTTTGGGATTTGCTCCTAAATTATAATTTCTTGTTTGATTAATAAGAAATTTACTGTGTGGCTCCCGAGGACGTAGGCAGTTGCCGAACCTCGTAAATCTTGGTGTACTTTTACTGTGTGGCTCCCGAGGACGTAGGCAGTTGCCGAACCTCGTTAAAACTTGGTGTACTGTTCTCTATTCTGCGTTTCTGTTGCAATTAGGGTTTCAGCGTTAAATTCCCAACAAATATCACCAAAGTGCGAATAGACTCCGTATAGTTCTATTTGTGGCCAACAGATTTCGGATTCTGGAAAATGCAGATAGAGGATTATCTGTATCAGAAAAATCTGTATCAAACCACTATCGGGGAAGAAGCCAGATTCTATGAAGGCAGATGAGTGGAACCTTCTAGATAGACAAGCCCTCGGAGTTATCAGATTGACGTTGACTCGCAATGTTGCGTTCAACATAGCGAAGGAGAAGACCACGGCAGGTCTTATGGCAGCTCTCTCAAATATGTATGAGAAGCCATCAGCCGCGAACAAAGTTCATTTAATGCGGCGGTTATTCAATCTGAAAATGGCGGAAGGCGCGTCAGTAGCACAACACCTCAATGAACTTAATACGGTTACAACCCAATTGAGTTCTGTTGAGATTGAGTTTGATGATGAAGTCCGGGCGTTGATACTTTTGTCTTCCCTACCAGAGAGTTGGAACACTACAGTCACAGCTGTGAGTAGCTCGTCGGGAAACAATAAGTTGAAGTTCGACGACGTTCGTGATTTGGTTCTCAGTGAGGAGATCCGACGGCGAGAGACTGGTGAAGCTACAACCTCTTCAGTATTGCATACAGAGTCAAGAGGTAGAAATTCAACCAGAGGAAACGGACGAGGAAAATCAAACTACAGAGGTAGATCAAAGGACAGGAGGTCCAAATCAAGGAATCCAAGCAACAGCTCGAAGGCTATCGAGTGTTGGAATTGTGGAAAGACCGGGCATTACAAGAATCAGTGCAAGAGCGCACAGAAGGAGAAGGAAGCGAAGGCAGAGGTGAATGTCACCTCCACTTCAGGAGGAGACGACGCATTGATATGCTCTTTGGAGAGCAAGGAGGAATCTTGGGTGTTAGATTCAGGAGCGTCGTTCCATGCTACCTCTCAGAAAGAATTCTTCGAGAAGTATACCCCCGGAAAACTTGGATACGTATATCTTGGTGATGATCAACCGTGTGCTATAGTGGGCAAAGGCGTGGTGAAAATTAAGTTGAACGGGTCAGTATGGGAGCTGAAGGATGTCAGGCATATTCCCGACCTGAGAAAGAATTTAATATCCGTAGGCCAGTTGGCTGGCGAAGGATACACCACAACCTTCCATGGAGATGATTGGAAGATCTCAAAGGGCGCAATGACAATTACCGGAGGCAAGAAGACTGGTACCCTGTATATGACAGCAGGTGCACATTGTTCGATCTCAGTTGCAGCTAGCAATGAGACCTCAAAGCTGTGGCACCAGAGACTCGGTCATATGAGTGAAAAGGGGATGAAAATCATGCACACAAAGGGAAAACTCCCAGGACTGCAGTCAGTGGAGATGGATATGTGTGAAGAATGTATACTTGGAAAGCAGAAGAGAGTCAGCTTTCAGACAAGTGGCAGAACCCCCAGGAAGCAGAAGCTAGAGCCCGTTCACTCAGATGTTTGGGGACCAACCACCACTGCGTCGATTGGTGGGAAACACTACTTCGTGACTTTTATCGATGATCACTCTCGGAAAGTGTGGGTCTACTTTCTGAAGCATAAGTCAGAAGTATTTGAGGCTTTCAGGAGATGGAAAGCTATGGTCGAGAATGAGACCGGTCTGAGAATAAAGAAGCTCAGGACCGACAATGGCGGTGAATATGAAGACACCGGATTCAAGAAGTTCTGCTATGAGCACGGGATCAGAATGGAGAGAACCGTGCCCGGCACGCCTCAGCAAAATGGTGTAGCTGAGCGGATGAACCGAACGTTGACAGAGAGAGCCAGAAGCATTCGGGTACAGTCAGGCCTACCGAAGCAGTTCTGGGCAGAAGCGGTCAACACAGCAGCTTACTTGATCAACCGAGGTCCATCGGTTCCATTGGAGCACAGAATACCAGAGGAGGTATGGTACGGAAAGGAGGTAAAACTCTCACATCTTAAAGTTTTCGGTTGTGTAGCTTACGTGCATATTAGTGATCAAGGCAGGAATAAGCTTGATCCCAAGTCAAAGAAATGCACTTTCATCGGCTATGGTGAAGATGAGTTCGGCTACCGCATTTGGGACAACGAAAACAAGAAGGTGATCAGGAGCAGAGATGTGATATTCAACGAGAAGGTGATGTACAAGGACATGCACAAGACAGATGACTCAGAGAGCGAGTCAATATTTGTAGATGCAGATGATGTCCCGAGTAACCTCTCGGAAGAACCCAATGCAGAGGGTCCTCAGCAAGAAGAGCCTGTTGGACAAGATGGTGCGCAGGAGCCCGACGCACCAGCTCCGATATTAAGAAGATCTTCTCGTCCTCCTGTACCCAACAGGAGATACATGAACTATCTGTTGTTGACAGATGGTGGGGAGCCTGAAAGCTTTGATGAAGCTTGTCAGTGTGGAGATGCGAGCAAGTGGGAGCTTGCAATGAAAGATGAGATGAAGTCTCTCATATCAAACCAGACGTGGGAACTAGCTGAGTTGCCCACGGGTAAGAAGGCACTCCACAACAAATGGGTGTACCGGGTGAAAGAGGAGCAAAATGGTTCCAGAAGATATAAGGCCCGGCTAGTTGTCAAAGGTTTCCAGCAGAAGGAAGGAATTGACTACACCGATATTTTCGCTCCCGTGGTGAAGCTAAATACTATCAGGACCGTGATGAGTATTGTAAAAATTGAAGATCTTCATCTCGAGCAGTTAGACGTGAAGACGGCGTTTCTTCACGGAGATCTAGAAGAGGAGATATACATGCACCAGCCAGAAGGTTTCTCAGAAGAAAAGAAGAAAAAGAACCTGGTGTGCAGACTCAAGAAGAGCTTGTATGGCCTGAAACAAGCCCCAAGACAGTGGTACAGAAAGTTTGACGGCTTCATGCACAAGGAAGGTTTCCAGAAGTGCAACGCCGACCACTGTTGCTACTTCAAAAGATATCAGTCCAGCTATATCATCCTACTGCTGTATGTTGATGATATGTTGGTTGCAGGAGCAGATATGGAGGATATCAGAAGCTTGAAGCAGCAGCTGTCAAAGGAGTTTGACATGAAGGACTTGGGTCCAGCGAAGAAGATCCTTGGAATGCAAATCACGAGAGATAAGAAGAGAGGTCTCTTGCAGTTATCTCAGACGGAGTACATCAACCGTGTTTTGCAGAGATTCAACATGGGCGACGCCAAGCCTGTGAGCACACCCTTGGCTAGCCATTTTCGTCTGTCGAAGGATCAGTCTCCTCAGTCAGAAGAAGAGAAAGAGAGTATGGCTCAGGTTCCTTACGCCTCAGCTATCGGAAGCCTGATGTACGCTATGATCTGTACGAGACCAGATATTGGCCATGCAGTGGGAGTGGTCAGCCGGTTTATGTCGAATCCAGGAAAAGCATATTGGGAAGCGGTCAAGTGGATTCTGAGATATCTACGAGGCACCACACATAAGTGTTTGCACTTTGGTATGGGAGAGATAAGTGCAAGGGCCGTCGGAAGTACAGCTGTTAGTTGGATGTCACAGGTACAGAAGATCGTTACCCTATCCACTATAGAAGTTGAGTATGTTGCAGTGACTGAAGCCAGTAAAGAGATGATATGGCTTCAGGGTTTGTTGACAGAACTGGGATTCAAACATGAGAAGAATGTTTTGCACAGTGATAGCCAGAGTGCGATACACTTGGCGAAGAATTCAGCATTTCATTCTAGAATGAAGCATATTGCGCTTCGGTATCACTTCATCAGATCCCTGTTGAAAGATGACGTGTTAAAACTGGAAAAGATTCCAAGGAGTAAGAATCCGGCAGATATGTTAACAAAGACGGCGACTATTCAGCCACACAGGAGAGGAGCTTGATGAGATAGCCTGTTGATGTCGGTTTGGTCTCCAAGTGGGAAATTGTTAGGTTGGGGGTGGATACCAACCTCCGGCGGCGGAGGAGCTCCGACGAGCCCCAATTGTTAGTTTGGGTGTAGACCAAACTCACCTCCGACGGCGGAGGAGCTCCGACGAGCTCCAGGATGTCGCAGGCGAAGCTGGAGTCTGCGTTCGAACCCCCTTCGAGCTCTGCGTTCGAATCCCCCACGTTTGCTCTGCGTTCGAACTCCTTCCGACATTTGCGTTTGGCGATGGCGACCTTTGCGTTCGAGCGCTCTCACCTTTGCGTCCGTGGGCCGCTGGCGACAGGCTGTCGCCAGCTCATCAACTCCGCCTATGCTTCCCCCTTTTTCGTTTCTCTCTGGCGGCGGCGAAAACCCCCATTAACGCAACAGTGTTTCCAAATTTTTCGGCCCCCCTTTTGAAATCACAGCAGCGATTTTATTCCATCTCCAGCTCTCAACTGTTTGAGGGGAGATTAAGAAAAGATTTAAGAAGAGAGAGAGAGAGAGAACTAAAAGGGGTTTTATATTGTGGGGCTTCCCCCTTTTTCGTTTCTCTCTGGCGGCGGCGAAAACCCCCATTAACGCAACAGTGTTTCCAA